CAAGAAAAAAATCAAGCAACAAGTATCTCAGCCAGTTAACCCAGTCAGCACCTTAGCTCAACAATACCAATTATTACAACAGCAGATGATGCAACAGAAACAGGAAAGATACAATAAAATATGCCAAGGTATGTTCGCCCCACGAACCAAAAAACGATAATTAATAAATATAATCTATAATTATCAAGAAAAAATATTTTCTTTTGATAATTATATTGTAAATGGTTAGTCTTGATGGCTCAACAAGATATATTGGAACAGACTTCATAAAGCTATTGAACACGGGAACTTCTAATTTAGCAACTGAGGACTATGTTCTGGAACAGGTAGCATTAGGTGGAGGCGGTGGAACATCAACAACTGATTTATCAGGATACTATAACTTAACCCAAACAAACACACTACTAGATACTACATACAGTATTACGCAAACAAATGATTTATTAGATACTAAATACAGTATTACGCAAACAAATGATTTATTAGATACTAAATACAGTATTACGCAAACAAATGATTTATTAGATACTAAATATAACATCACAGCAGTAAATACAATCTTAGATACAAAACTTAATATTAATAATCCGCAAGATGTGTCAGGAACTCTTAGGTTAGGTAGTGTAGATGGTCTTTCAAAGATTATATTGAATGCAGTTGGTAGTAATGGCAGAGACTTTTATGTGAATGGTGATGCTCAGGTATTAGGCAATCTCACAGTTTCATCGTTGGACAGCACGGGCTATATTAATGTTCAAAGCATTCAAACAAATATAATAAATGCGCTCAATACAAATGACATTTTCTTTCAGTCCAACAACGTAGCTTATGCACAATTTGATTATGCCGATGACTGTTTTAGGTTAATAAAAAACGTTGATGCTGGAAATGTCACGTGTAATGGAAATCTGAATGTCAATTCAATGGATACAATAGGGGACGTTGATATGATATTAAAACAGAACAATGAGGATGTATTGGAATTAAAAAGCGATGACAGGATTATAGCAAATAAAGTCATACAATGCGGTGGCAATCTTAAAACGCAGGAGATAGACACAATAGCGCCATTGGATATGATTTTAAAAGTAAGTGGTGGTAGTTTCTTAGAATTGAAAACTGACGATAGGATAGTAGCTAACAAAGTTATTCAATGTGGAAGTAATTTAAAAACACAAGAGATAGACACAATAGCACCATTAGACTTAGTATTGAAGCGTGATAATGTTAGTATGGTAGAATTGCAAGATGGTAAAACAGTATTGAATACAAATACTGAATGCAACAACGTTATAACTTGCGATAATTTTGATAGTAGGAGTGGTTCAACAATATCAAATTATATTATGAACGATAATACAGGACAGATAAAATTTTATGTAGGTAGTCCAATAACACCAGATACAACAGCTAATCTAGTTATGACATTACAAAATAATTTAATCACCTTTCATAAGCCAACATCGCCAGAAATAGGAGGAGGAACCATTGATGATAGTAATTATGTCAAGAAAACAGGAGAAACAGGACAGATAATAAATGGTTCTATGGAATTTCAAGGAACAACATCACAAACATTTAAATTTAGTATGGGTGGTCCAAGCAATTTTGCTCAATATAGAAGGTTTGAAATATACAACAATGAAGTTGTTTCATATAGAGTTATAAAATGCACTAATGCATTGGGGTTGCAGAGCAACCTAATAAATTCTTATACTGATACTGATTTAATTTTCCAAAGAAACGGTATTGAATACATGAAATTTAGCACAAGTGCAACAGTGGATATTAGTGATACAGTCAGTTTAAGGTCTAACACTTATGACAGTGTAGGCAATGCCGATGTCAGTTTCAAAAGAAATTTTATTGACTTTCTTTATTTACGAAATAATGAAGTAGAAACAGCACCAGCAATAACATTAAATGCAACAAATGCTAAAATCAATACAATAAATACAGTTGGTGATAATGATATGGTATTACAAAGAAACGGTGTAGAATTTTTAAGATTAGACGGCCCGAATACAGTTGTAAACGGTCCGCACAATTATTTGATTGTTGGTTCCAATGTTGGTTTAAATACTGATTGGATGTTTGCTAATGTTGTTGCTAATAGAAGTGATGACACTGATACAGATTTTAGAGGTGCAGTAAGTGGTGGTTTAGCAAGTGGAATTGTATATATGACATACGAGCACATAGCAGAAAATTTACATATTAAAGCTGATGTTGAGATTAATCAAGATAAAAACATATATTTACATAAAGAAACCAGTAAAAACAGTTATATCACTTCAACAAATATAGCAGGTGTAAATCATACAAATTTTATTAACGAAGACCCTAACGGAGATTTAAGATTTTTTGCTAACAACGGCATAAGGCTTTATATCACACCATCAAAAGTTTCAGTTCCTCCATTTTATATTTTGGAAGGAAACCTTGTAGACACATCGGATAAAAGTAAAAAATATGACATCAAAAGTATTGAACATAATTTTACTGATATTATGAAACAAATTGAACCTAAAACTTTCAAAATGGAAGAAGAGAAAGAACTAGGATTAACTAAAAATCATATCGGGTTCATTGCTGATGAAATAAAAGAAGCAATACCTGATGAATGGCAAAATATAGTGATGACTGATAATGAAGGTATTAAGAAGTTAAGTTATATAAAATTAAACACTGTGCTTTGGGGCGCGGTTAGAGAACAACAACAAAAAATACAAAATTTAGAAGCGACAATGTTTGAGATGATGGAAGAAATCAAAGAATTGAAAGGAAAGAAGAAGCCAAAAGCAAAAGCAAAATCAAAAGCTGAATAAATATAATCTAGATTAAAAATATAATATAATGGGTTCTAAGCAATCATCAGTTGAAAATAGTTGCATGGGAGAATTGAGTAATATAAATGAAAATGATTTAGATATCAGTAATGTTGATAAGCTTCAAATAAGAGCATTGAAGGAAATGAATAATAGAATAAAGGAAATGGAAGAAAAGAAAAGCGACCGTATATTTTATAAACTACCTGCTATTAACATTTGTGCTCCAAGTCTAATTTAATGATATTATTATTTCATAATATCATTGAATGCTGGTTGATATATCAACCAATCTCAACTGATGAATTCAGTTGATGTGTATCTCCTTCTCTAATCTAATCATAAATATTTTATTTATGTCACTCTCTCTTAATTTTACAAACAAAAATGAATAAGGTTGGTCGTCAGTAGCAAGTTTGTAAATTTCATACAGGGTTTTCTTATCAACTAATGCTGATTGTTCTTCAATGAATGTTTCAACTTCTCTTATGTTTTTCAACTTGAAAATATATAGTGATGATGTATTTACTCTTACAATAGTTGCAAGCGCATTCAGTTTCTGTGAAGCAGTTATAACTGACAATCCAAAATGTCTAGATTTGGTGTAAAGACCATGGAGGATTTTTGAATATCTCATAAAAGTTTTGTCTTCTGCGAAGTCATCTATAATTAACAGACAACTATACAATTTAGTCATTTTGTTTTTCTTCTGGTATTCTATCACTTTATGCTGTGTGTTTATGATGTGTTCTAATGCTTCTGCGTTATATTCATCAAATAAGTATTGTTCTTTCTTATTATCTATTTTCAGTTCTTTTTGTATGTATTTTATTACTTCCTTGTAGGCTTCATCTATGTGTGCTGTTGGTGATACAATGTATATACGTTCAAAGCAACCACGGTATATTTTCAAAATTAAGTTTTGAATAAGGATGCCTTTACCACCCTGTGAAGCACTAACAATAATACTTCTAAAAGGTAGTTTATCTGCCTGCGGGTATGGAGACTGTTTGAACTCATATTGCTTGACATTGATAGGTTCAATTTTTGGTGGTTCTAATTTCTTCATATAATAAAATATGTTAGAAAATAAAATATAATATTATTTGTTAATGGAACTTTTGGAACAGAGAAAAGGGCATTAACCCTCATACGTAGCTAATTAGTTTTTGGAATTCGGTTGAAGTTTGGAAAAGAAGACCGCCCCTCTCTTCTGCGTGGAAAAGTCAGTGCAAGTGAAGTTGCAAAGTTAATTAGATAATATTATCTAATTAACTTTAATAAATGCCTAAGAAAGGAAAAACAAAAATGTCAAGAAAAGCTATTCCAGAGGATTTTGAACTGTCAGATGACGAGCCGACAATGATAAATTTGAATGAGGAACAAAAACTGACAAGTAAAAACATTATTTTTGACTGTCCGTTGTGCTTTGGAAAATTGCAGTTAAGAAATGAAATTGAAATTAATCCCAAAGGCATAACCTGTCGTTGTAATCCGTGTAGTTTCAAACTGACTAAAAATGATAAGACTATGAATGTCAGTAAGGATGATGAAGGGGGGATTACATTGGATAGTCAAGACCACAGCATCTCGTTTGCTTTCAATAGAATTACTACTCCTCCAACAGAAGATGAAAGATATAGAAATGATATGATAAAAGATGTTATGAATACACCACGGAACAGCAAAAGACAGATGATGTCTGAAATGGATTGAAACGAAACCGTTTAAAGAGTAGTTTTTCTATCAACTCCAACTCATAAATAAATAATTAAATAAATTAATTTCTAAATAAATAAATAAATAGTAATGTCAAGTGGAGATGAGAGCAAGACTGAAATGAAAGAGTTGATGGATAAACTCAACAAATACGCTAAACAGGTGAAACTGGTTCTGGCAAAACTTGAAGAAATTGACAAGAAAATAGGACAAGACTATTACTATTTAGATGATGATAAGAGGGGTTATTTACGCCACGAATTGTGAAAGGTGTAAGGCTTGTTCATGCTGATGTGTTGTTGCTTCCAGTGCTTGCCATCACTGTCGTTAAGGCTCAACAATATCAAACTGCACTGCGCTGATGCTTCAAGTAAGATCATGATTCAAAGTCAGGAGGAGTAAGAGCTGTTGCAGGAATACGAGCTGTTGCTTTTCAAGACTTATGTTGTAGCAATGGTTGCCTTGCGCAATGCTCGTGTTCGGCGCTATGTCCTTCTTTGCCATTTCTTCTGCTTTTGGCATTTCGCAGCGCGAACCTTACAGTTCTCTGCCCTGCCGCCGAATTCAAAGCTGTTGAAGGACGTGGAGCACAATGAGGTGCCAAGCTGGATTCGGGAGCAAATATGCGACTTGGAGTATGATGAAGACATCGCCAACAAGGTGGTAAATGCACTGTCCGTTTTTCCAAGAAAGGTGCTGACGGAAATGTCGTATGAAAACATAGCACTCGTTTTGACAGAAGCCCAGATCGACGAGAGCGTTGTGCGACCAGTAGCAATGGGTCTGTCCAACCGCATTCAGAAGGGCATTACCCAACCACAACCCGTTTCTCGGCAAAGATTGGTTTCAGTTGTTGCCCGAGTTCGTTGTGTTTTGTTTCTCGCTGATGTGAGACAGCGTTTATGTTTCTGTGGCTGCTTTGCTGATTTTCAGGTTCAGAGCGATGTTCCCGAGAATGTCAAGGCCTTCGCACGAGCTTTGGATGATGCAGAGCTGGAAGGGCAAATTCTCAGAACGGAAACGGGCAGTTTCAAGTTAGAACAGGACTCTGAAATTTGGGACGAAAAGCAGTTCTACGTGCGGGACTGCTACAAAGAGATTGCCGACATCATGTTGAAGAAAAAACCTCATAGGATGTCTTTGCTGGGCTCGTCTGGGATCGGCAAGTCCAATTTTATGGTATATTTAATCTGGCGTCGCTTCCAAGACAGTGAACTTAAAGACTTCCCAGTTTTTCTGCACCGCGACAACGTCATCCATCGGTTTAAGAAGGGCGAAGAGCCAAAGAAGGTCGATGCCGATACTTTGTATTCAGCCCCTGCACAAGCTTTGTATATCATGGATGCCGACATTGATGTGAAGCATGGGGTCTTTTGCCAGTCTTTGTGGATTACCTCTGCGCGGAGGCCCGAGACAGCGGCTTCCAACACGGAACATTTCAAGCAAGCCGAGCGCTTTTCTGGGCAGTTCTTTATGCCACCATGGACGTTGACGGAGATGCTGAGTGCAGAGGTCATGGCCTTACACAAGCTGAATGAGGAGGTTGTCAAGGAACGCTTCGGCATCTTTGGTGGCACTGCGAGGCTTGTTTTGGAGAGGGACGAGACAAGGGCAGGCGTCGACCGAAGAAGGCTCGTAGAGGCCGTGCAGTCAGCAGATGCGATGCAATGCCTTAAAGTATCGTCTGACATGAAAGCCATAAGCAAGAGGACGCACTTGCTGGTGAAGATGATGCCATGGCCAGACTTCAGCTGGTTTGATGTGCAGTTGTCGTCTCCCTATGTTCGGCAAGAGCTGGTGAAGCAAAACAGACAGGACAACTCCGAAGAACTTTGGAAAAGGATGCGGGAAGGAATGATTACTGGCATCGGTTTTGCATTGTTTGAGGAAGAGTTCCACCAGTTCATGCAGGACAAGTCCATCGGCAAGTTCAAGCTCCGAGCCAGATGCTTGACAGCTGACGGGAAGGGGTCTGACACAACACAGGAACTCCAAGGTGGTCTTGCAGGAGTGCTGATTTCGGGCAATCCCGCAGCAGACATCAAGGATGGCGAATACTACCAGCCGCAGAGCAAAAACTTTCCTGCCTTTGACTCATGGACCTCACAGGGCGTTTTTCAGCTGACGATTGCCGATACACATGACATCACCTTCAATGACGGTGGCAAGGCAATGGACGTGACGAAGACGCAGGCGTATAAGATTGTGGATGCACTTTGCAAGAAGCATGACAGCAAAGCCAAATTCTTCTTTGTCGTTCCGCAGTTTCAGTTTGATAAGTGGAAGACTGTGCAGACAGTGAAACAGCCAGAGATGGCTGAGAAGATTGAGCAATGGGTTGTGTGCTTTGAACAGAACCTTCCGAAGTGAAGTGGAGCAGCGCGCTCGTGACCAAAATGAGGAAAGTCCGACATCCCCCAGTTCGGGGTTATGTTTTTTTTTTGGTTTTTCTATTAGGGTCTTACCCCACACCTCATTAGGATATTGGTTATAGAATGGACAAGGTTATGGGGTTGGGAGGTTCTTATGGTTTTGGGTTATGTTTTTTGGATTATTGTATTTGTCTTGGGAGGTGCTTTGTGTATTGCGGGTTTGGTGTTGGGTGGGTCGGTGTTTTGTAATTTTTGTTGCATAAGTTTTTGAATAAGGGCGACCTTGCCCAACTATTTTATGTTTTTTTTTTTTAAATATTGTTTTCTATGAGGAGGACCTTGCCCCTGTTTTGTTGGATGATGAATTTTGGTTATGTAGGTTACTTGTTGAAAATCCTTTTGAAGATTACTATGTTGGCTTACATCTTCAAAATGATTTGTGTTATGGTTATTGTTGAGACTGTTTTGAAATTTATTTTTGAATGATGTTTTTGAGATGTTGTTTTGAATTTTTTGTTGAATGATGGGTTGGAAGGTTTGTTTTGAGATGTTGTTTTGAAATCTTGGTTGAATGATGTTTTTGAATGATGGTCTTTATGAGATTGTTATGAAATGATGGTGAAAGTGTAGGGGGGGTGCAGGGTTATGTGATGATAGGAAGATGGGCAAGGCCTACCCTAACTGATATGTATATGTGTCTATAGACCCACAGTATGGTTGGACTCCTCAATACCAGTCGAATGGCCATCCCCTATCTGTCGTTTGGTTGGTGGTTTCAACAATTTTTCAGGTTGCATTCTTACCTGGGTTCATGAACCCCAATTAGTTAGTTTTCTTTTTGATGGGCAACCACTGGTCACTTGTGTGTTTTCAACATGTTGAATATGTTTTTGTCAGAAGAAGGGCCAAAAAGGGGTCTACCATGGTATACCTCAATTTATGGCAAGTTTCAACAGGAGAATGCTGATAAACCACAGGACTTTAGTGTCCCCCTTTGAGGATTCTTGTGACAGCTTGGAATGCAATCTCCAAGGACATTGCCAACAGGACCCTGTTGCACGAGTCATTGATTGAAGCCGCTCTCCAAGATGCAGTTCGTGATTGCACGTTTTGCGCAGCTTGGATAGCAGGAACAGCGCGTGGATTTCATTTGTTTCCCTATGGCATTGGAAGGTGTATGTTGGCATAACCTGTACTTTCATGGGGGCTTGACGTGCTTCTACCGTCCCAAGAGCCGTTCAAAGACAGCAGGGTTTGACCATTGAATCCTTGCCGCCTCGTCAAACGACACAAATGCAAGAGTTGAATTACTTTCCCCCGAGGTCCTATAAGTCCTTTTTTCCCTGGTATCTTGTTCATATCCCCATAGATCTCACTGGTATCCCCATGTGCTACCCACGGGCTGCTCATTTGGGGCAGGTCTCGATTGCTGATCCCCGGCGGGAAGATTGCCCGCTGATCGCTGTCTCCGACGAGTTCCTGACGATGACCGGATACCTCAGGGAGGAGGTCGTAGGCGCCGCACCAAGGGGCCGAAGATTAGCGTTGCGAAATTTTGGTATTGACCTACAGTTATGGCCTGAAATACCAGTTATAAGTCAGTGAGCCACCCCATAAGAATAGCCATAAAAATACTGGTAAAAGGCTTTAATTGTAGCATTGGTGGCAACCGGGGTACCCACTTTTTGGCCCACAGCCATATAGTAAACGACCAGATCCAATCCAAATGGAAATGTTTCAAGGGAAGTCCCACAGATCTTCGCGAGTGGATGTTCATCGTGATTAGGTGACATGAGTTCGAACTATATAGCATTTAGATGGAGCAACCACCATTGTTTCTTTTTTCCTTTACCCTTTGATTCTGAGTGGTGCACGCTTTTGGCGGACAATTGATTCTAGATGCCTCGGCTTTGGTAGCCTTGCCGGCAAGGCTGTGTGTTAGAAGTTTTTTCTTGCAATTTGTCATGAAAGTGCAGCGCTGATTGATTGCGAGCGGAGTAGTTGACCTGGCAATTCAGACATGCAATTCTGGCAAAGGCAAGAACTGCAGATTTCTCAATCGCGACGCGGAAGCACTGGTTGTGTGGCAAGACCTCCTTGTTGTAGAATCCAGCGGTTTATCAGCGTTGCCCGTATCCAAATTGTGATTTTTGAGGTATTCCCCATTTTTGGACACCGCCAAGATCAGTTGCATCTTTTCGCATGCCTCAGGGCATTCAGGATTTGATACACATTTCTTTAGAGCCGGCGGTGACCGTTTTTTACTTGCTTGACCCACTGGTGCTTTATGTGTTCACTTTTCTTACAAGATATGAAAGGGGACATTTCCCCTAAATTTTCCCTCCAATCAATCCATTGACATTTGACATCTGACAGTGAGGCAACTGCTACTTGGAACCGAGCACCTTCAATGGCTTACGTCAAGCCTGCAATACAGGTGATGCGTTCACAGGTGTTCTTCTGAATCGAAGAAAGTCAGGCAGGGTGCTGCTGGCATCTGAGGCTATCCAGTACTCACGAATTTGTATTAAATTTGTGACCATTATTCCAATGAGGAAACCGATGACAATGATGATGGTGATGATGATGATGATGATAATGATGATGATGCTGGTGGTGATGGTGATGGGTGAACTGCTGGAATTTGAGGCACCCTGTTTTTTGGACCGGACAAACCCATCAGATGGCATTGGCTGTGGCAATTTGGCATGAAACTAGGTAGACATCGAAAGCAGCAATAGTCCACCAAGATGTGCTGCATTTCTCTGCAAGGGCTCAATCCCTTCAAGGGATGGTTTTGGGAGAGGAAGTGGACCACTTCAGATCATTTTCCATCATTTTCCCATATTTGGTGGGAGCCGGAAGACCTCGATCCTTTGGAAGTAAATGCATGGTTTTTAACTTTTTAATCGCAAATTTCCTCTTCACGCGGAGATATCATTGTCTGCAGGCGACCTATTCATGAATTTCGTCAACCTGCAAGGGCTTGTGATTGCTCCTCGGCACAGTACGGTACTGTTGAAATTGGCATTTCTCTCTTGTCATGGCGAGGCCAAGAACTCTCGAGGCGATCCTCTGTGGTTTGTCATTGGCATCCAAGCCGATGTGACCCACGTTTGCTTGGAGAAAGCACCTGAGCAACTGCCAAGATTACACGAGGTGGCCCAGGTCATCCGCCACTTGGATCACGTGGATCATAAGGCTTCAAAAGGCACGTAACAAATATGTTTGGCAGATCTTTGAATGCCTTTCTACAAGAGCCATGCGTTTGACTGAAGACAATTTTTAGCTTCCAAATCAAAGTAGATCTGCACATACATGTTAGATCATGTTAGTATGTAATAGTATAATGGTATGTATATATATATATATGTATATTATATATGCATTATATATTCCAATCACACCAATTGATTGACATATTCCAGTCGCTTCGCAACGAGAACCACCCGCGCCTAGGCAATAGGACAGAGAGGAAAGAAGCTGGCCTACTTGGCCCAACCAAAAGCAGACTGGGTCAAACTTGGCCATCCTTGGCCTTAAGTTGGGCCGAACAGGATCCCACTTGGGCCCAACTTGCGCGTAACTTGCGCCGAACTCGGGCTAGTTGGCTCCAACTCAATTGGGCCCAACTTGAGCCCAACTGTGGTCCAACATGGCGCAACTTGGGCACGTTTGGACGCAAGTTGGGCTTAGCATGCGCAACTTGGTCCTGTGTGGAGGCATCTGGCGCCGAAGTTGGGCCGGAGAAAGGCCCAATGTGGGAACCCCCATCAGAGCCAAAAAAACGTTGAAATCGCGATAAAATGCTAGTTTTCAGCGTACCGCCTTGAGTTCGCAAAAATGGCCCGGGTTGGGCACGTGGACGTCTAAGTCCTGTTCAGCATGGCGCAACTTGTTTGGCGACAGCTTCACGCCAAGTTGGGCCCTACTGGGCACAACATCGGAAACATTGCTCAACGCGAAGCGTCATCGATACCAAAAAACGTCGCAAATTCCAGAGAAAACGGGCGTTTTGAGGATTTCGGATTGGGCCGGGTGTGTCCCCCATTTTGAAGCCATATGGGCCTCAACCTGGGGAATGCTAAATGGGTCCAAGTTGGGACCAATTTGCGGCATGTTGGAGCAAAGTTGGGCCGAAGTTGGACCCAAGTGGGTCCCAACTTGGGGACTTGTTGGCCAAAGGTGATTTGGGCCAATATGCAAAATGTGCAAATTACCGCAACTGCATGCAATTTTTGGTGGCCTGCTCTGTTCGAAAGTGCACCCCCCCAGCTGGAGTTGTACCGGTGAACAGAGGGTTGTTCGAATCGAACGGATCCGTTCCTAAACTATCACGCCTCGGCACCTTTGGTGCGGGCGGATTTTGATTCCCTTGAAACCACCACACTTCTCCTATAAGCCTTGGAAACCCAATCTTCGCCGAGGACAGAAGCTGACATCAGAGCCTCGGTTGGAACTGTGACCAGCAGATGTTCTTCAGTCACCAGAGCCAAAGATAAGTTCCTTGGAGCCAAGGAACTTACCACCATGGCAATGTCCAGTGCTATGATTGCAGAGCAAACCATGGGGCAGTCTGTAACTTCTTCTTGGTGGCTTTTGCCAGACCCGACTGTCACTCTTTCAGAGCCTCATCACGATTATTGGCTGGGTGGTGCTTTCTTGGCGGGGGGTTGAATGGACAACTGACAGCTCACAGTGTGGCTATGTATAGAAATTCAGGAGTGAAAGAATCATCCAACAGATGCAAGTTTGCAGGAAACTAGCATGCCTGGGGTGTTTGAAGGGTAGACATTCTTTGAAGATTCCCCTGTCCGCTCAGGATAGTCGAGCCTTCTCGCGACAAAAGACAATCATTGACACAGTCATAGAGTCAAACCACACTGAAGCTGATGACTGTGATGCGCCACCAGCTCAGGGTGTAGCTGCAATGCAGACCCCTTAATCCCCCAGGCCTCTCTATCCGCGTGCCTTGCAACGTTTTTTTTCATGAGGGAACACCAGAAACTATGCACCTTTTATCCCCTTTCGATCCATTTGGACATGACGTATGACTTTGGATTCAGCACTGGATGTGAAGATGTAGGATGGAATTTAGAAAGCAATGGCATTCGGGGCGGGCTCTCGTCATTGGTCCAGTTCACATCAGGTTGAATGCTGCATCGCATGTTCAGCTGGGCATGAAAAGCACAAGTGCAAGGCTGTCAAGCTTTGCTCGCCAACAGAGTCAGCAAGTAGTTCCTTGGAAGCATCCGAGAATAGTGGCATAGTGGCCATGGCACTTCCAGGGAAGTTGTTCAAATCGTTCAAGGATTTGTGACGCCACCAGATTTTCATTGCCCAGGATTCTTTGGTTCCAAGCGCCATCCACACGGGGGACCTCGATGAGGCCGGCTTTGGAGACTTACAAAATCGGGCCCCCATTTTGTCTGTGCTTAACCCAGGGGTTCAAAACTTCATTTTCCCAGATCTTATTGGAGGATTTGGAGATTTACAATGTAGCAACTCCCAGAATCAAAAGGATAGAACAGGTCGTGCCATACCCCATTGACACCGGAGCCGGCGGAGTGTTGCCTTGGATCAGGTGATGCAGGCAGCCATTCGAGACTGCAATTTTTGCGCCACTTGGGTCGTGTTTTTACGATGGACATAACTTGTTTAAACGAGAATCGCGGTCTTGTGAAGGATCTGCGCATTGGTGTTTTTGTGCCAAGCAAATCCAGGGGCTGGAGAAATACACGTATTTCTTTTTTCAACAGCCCTGACGCAACTCGACCCTCCCGGCGCCATGAAAACCTGCCGAAAAAGACGACCAAACCCATCGACCAAAGCCATCAACCACGAAGGTCAGCATCGCAGACCCGCGAGCTGCTGACTGCCCGTTGGTGGCTGTGTCGGACCAGTTTGAAGTGTTGACGGGTTATGCCCGTGAGGATGCTTGCAGTGGATCTTTCGGGCTTTGTCAGGTATTATTGGGGATATAATCGAGGTATTATATGGTATAATTAAATTATATATATTATATTAGATTATTATTTATCATATATATTATCGATATGATATATAAATATATATCTATTGTATATATAATAGACATATTTATTATATATATATATTATTCTAAATATTATATATAAACCATTATATATTATATTATATATATTGTATATAATATATATATATATATATTGTATATATTATATATATATTGTATATATTACATATATTGTATATATTTTATATATTGTATATATTATATATATATTGTATATATTATACATATATTGTATATTATATATATTGTATATTATATATATATCATATATTATATATTATATTATATTTGACATGATATATATATATGGTACCTCCCCCCAAAAACCTATGCAGACTTCAATTTTACTGGTATTTACAGTGAATTTTATATATTTTGGCACCGATTTTGTTCCGATTAAATTTGAGGCACCAACAGTGGGAAAACTGGAAAACTGAAAAACTGAAGTCCATAGGAGAAGTCTGGGGTCCATTCTTCTCTTGTGGAATTCAGTTTTTCAGTTTTTCAGTTTTTCAGTTCTAGGCTTCTCCTGAAAGGTGAAAACCCGAAAAGCTGAAAAAACTGAAAAAATCAAGTGACCCCAAGCTGTGTCAATAATTTAGAATATGAACATCAAGGAAAAAATAAACAAATCATAGACCTATGGGCATTAAGTGATAATTTGAGGGTAGGAGCTGCGCTAAACGCTGTAAGAACAGCCGAATATATAATTAATCAAGGATATCTAAAGATTTAAACTCAGCATTACTATTAATTTTCTATTGCATTTGTTCTAAAATTTCATCTTTTTTAATTGTATTTCCAGAGATAATATGAACATGATAATGTCTAATAGTTTGACCAAGGCCATTATTCATAATTAATCTACAATTGTCTTGTTTAGACATCTTGTTTATAGAATGCTTAATCTTTACAAAAAATAACTATAACCTCTTTATCTGCCACTTCTAAAAAAAGATCATAATTTACACATTCAATGGTAGGTATTGCTAAAAAATGATGCTCTGCTACTGGAGAAATATCGTTTATAATAATAAGACCATCATCTTGATATACTTTATCTGAAGATACTTGATTATTAACTATTTTAAAGAATATATTATTCTTATCATGTTTATATGAAGCCACAATCCATCAGTATATGTTACTAATATTACTTATTTGTATTTTGCTATGCAAAACCCTAGCTAGCTCAACATAATTTTTTGGACTTATCTGCTCTGCTCTACTTGTAGGATTTATACCTATATTATATAAAACTTCCTGTATATTTATTATTCATATTTTTTCAAGAATTAGAAAGAATTTTCTTCTCTGAGAAAATGCAGAATGCAATATTTTTTTGAGAAAAAGTAATACATTTTTTTTGTAGCCTAAAATTCTTAGGCGATAAAGAAATTACAGTTGAATAAACTTTGGTTTGTGGGAAAAAATCTTCCCAGAAATATCAAAATGACACTTGCAATCAAAAAATATCTGACTTAATACACTCAAATATCCATAGCTTTTTGTGTTTAATTTTGCACAAATTCTTTTTGCAACTTCAGTTTGAATTGTAAAAATCATATAAAAAATTATCTTGTTCTATCAAATTCTTGATAAAATGAGTAGCTAAATTATATGGTAAATTACCTACTATTTTTGTATTTTTACTTAATATATTCAGATCAAAATGCATAAAATCTGTAAAATATACTAGTATGTTTTTTGGAAATTTCAATTTTAATTTACATAATGCTTTCTCAAAATCTTTATCTTTTTCTACAAGGATAATCTTTTTTATAGATTGATTTTTGCATAGCATAACTGTTAAATTGCCAAGACCAGGACCTATCTCTAATATCTCTTCATTATTTCCATTTTGGGTGAGATTTGATACAATTTTTCTAGATATATTTTGGTCTAAAAGAAAAGTTTGATCTAATTATTTTTTTTTAATTTTAGTATTTACCTCTTGATAATACTGAATTATTTTCTGTGGAATTATTTTTTAACTTTATAAATACGAAATTATCTTTTTCTTCTATAATGTTGCTTACTTGACCAGGACTTAAATCATATAAAGTATATTGAAAATTGATATCTTGTAGTTTAGATACAACTGAGTAGTAACAAATATGATTCTTATATTTCACCCCTTTTGTAGACATCTGTCCTGTCTTTATTTAACACGTGATTTCGTGCTTTTAATAAGTTTTGATAAGAATTTTTAATAATCTTATCAATGCTATACTCTTCATATACAATTCTAATATCTTCTATCTTTTTATCTTGAATACAAAAAATTTCTAGCCTATTTTTTCTGGTAACATAAAATTTGGCAATACCCCTAAACATTTTTTCAAAAACAATATATATTGAAACATTTCAAGCAAACCCTTATCTAAAAACTGCTCTTTAGCTTTTGCCATAACTTTTTTATGATCTATCTTATTGAATTTGCAATATTCAGCAAAATTTTGATGTGGAGTAATGTCAATTGAATCAAGTATATAAGGATTCTTAATTACAAAAGAACGTACTAAAGATAATCTTATCAAATAATTTAAAGCTACATCCCTAATTTCATCCTGAGAATTTATAAATCGAAAATTATTTATAAATCAACAGCACCTGCCGTCTTCTTTGCTCAAATCATTGCAACATGGCAGTATGCCTTCAAGCAGGGTCGCAGCTTCTGAAACATAGGTTCTGGGGGGGGTAGCATATATATAGACAGACATATTACAAATTAATAACACCAATATATATATATATATACACATGATATATTATGTTTGGACATGGGGATGGGCAATTTTGATAGGGAAAACGGATGAAATAAGCCATTGGGTTTTAGGGATGCCCGGTTTTCAGCACCAATCTTCAATTAGAACCTTAAGTGGATGATGTGCCTTCACTAGTAAGTGGATCTAGCTGGGGATGCATCAGTAAAATAGGTGATTTTTACACCCCAAATGTCGAAACGCAATGCTAGGTTCACGAATCAAAAACAAAATTCTGTTCTTCTCACCTTGACAGTTTTGAAGTCTTGCAGATGCTGTCATTCTGCACTGGCCCAGGAAATAATTGGAAAGAACTGCCGCTTCCTCAACCAGAATTGTCCGCTAGGCTGGTTGGCACTTCTGGTGAAGTTTCAGATTTGAGCGTCCACAGACCACATGCATCAGCAAAGTGCGTGTAGAAAGGGTTTGCTACTGACTCCCGTTCGATATAGGTTGCACAGAAAAGGCTGCCGATCAACTTTTGCCCCAAGCACCCGGACCCTGAGATAGTGAACTCAACATTGCTTGAAGAGTGACAAATCCTCTCCCGCGAATACTAAACCCCCCCTCCCCAAATAATGAACACCTCAGGTAGTTTTTATTATTAGGGGGTATTTCTTTTTAGGGAACCAAAGCGGACCCTAATAGTAAATTTAAGCCCTGAATAAAAAAAATAGTTTTTCCGATTTCAAAATCAAATACTGTTCCTTTTATAACGCAATTAACATATTGCCAAAATTTGGATTTCGAAGCTTCCCCCCAATATTAAATTAAACACATTTTTATTAAAAAAAAACACTAAAAAAATCGAAGGACCCTAATAAAAAACACCCCGGGGTTGACTAGTTTTTATTATTAGGGGGTGAAACCCACAAATAGTAGCTTTATTTTTAACTTGTTTTCAAGAGGGGATCAATTAAAAGTCAAATTGGCCAACCTGAAATTGTCCAAAATTGGAGATGGACCCTAGTTTTTATTATTCTGGGAGGGTTTAGTAATAGGGGGAAGAGATTAGTTGGCCTGACGTTCATAACATACTCTGCGAGGAGTTGGGTTGCTCTTGGTAAATCGCAAAAAAGAGTAGGTATAGCGCATATATAGGCAGTGAGCAGTCTTTGCTAATCTATTGTTTTTCATTTAGTTTTCCATAGGTCCGACTCGCAGCCCACTTGCCGGGCAAGGCCGGTGTACGGCCGGCCAGTACGCCATAATTCAGGAAGGTTTTTGGCAGTTTAGAGCTCGGAAAGCTGATCCCAAGCTATGTGCAGGAGCGGGTGACCAGAGGGCATTGCGAGAGGCATGCTTGAACGGTTCACCTTTCTGCAAGGTCATTGTAAACCGAAGGACTGACAGTTGCAGATCACCGTGGTTGTTGTGTTGTCAAACTTGCATGAATTCACATTTAATTGTTGGGTTTGTTTGAGAATACGAAATCCCCTGGTGAATCACAACTTTTATTCAAAAACGGCCAAAATTGGCAGTGTACCACTTTTTTAGACACGCAATTCACATGTCGATCTCTGGGGCCCAGGAAGTCTGGAGACCTCTTCTTGAACTTCCTAGATCTCCGTGGAGTCACTGTCGCAAGAAACATCAAAACAAGGCCGGAGGTGGATGGAGTCTGTTCATGAATCTAGATAACTTTGTTTCCGCAGGATTAGGGTAACCTTCCCCAAAGTTCCTTAATTCCTTGAATCTGAATGCTTAAGCATATTTAAGACAATTTATCCGGATGATTTGGGGATGGGTCAAGAATTATGTGATCCCACATGAAGGAGGGTATGAACTTCCATCAAAGACCAGCTGTTTTAATGCGAGCTACAGTGTGCCATAGTGTACCTACCAAATAATGAACATCCATCAACAACTGGCTATTTCCATCTGAGCTAGTCTAGTTTAGGGGGTGCATTCCAAATAGAAGGCAACCTTTGAACAAACTTTGACCATTTGCCAGGGAAGAGCTGTGGTTCCTGGTGGGCATCCAAGCAGATGTCACGAATCTTGAGGAAGCTCTCCCAGAGGACTGCCGGAGAAATGGCTGAGGGGATTGATTGCCCATCTGGCAATTTCATTGGGTCATTCATGGGATTAGGGAGCTAGTTACGGCGAGTTTTGGACAAACGCAGGAAGCCCATGGAAGCTCCCGAGCCCCAGGACCACCTGAAGAAGATTCAGGAGGTGGCATCCGGTCCACTGGCTGCATTGAAACTTCCAGGTCTTTAGCAGCCTCCAAAAAAAGGAGGCATATGTCTTTGGTCGAATCCCATCAAAAATAGTGATAGATGGATGATTTTTCTGTCTTTGGGCTCATCCCTGAAGTTGGAATCGATGTTGCATGTTGCAAGAAGACACCAAAAAGCTGGGATATGTTGTGTCACACACATATATATATATTTATATTATATATTTGTTACATATAATAATTACATAATATGCACACCTTCCAGTAAATTAACATTAAAAAGAATGAACATCCGCCATTTCCGGATCATTTTCCTAGAAAATCCAGGGATTTCCAGAGGTATTCGCGCGCGCATTGCTGACCAGCTCTCGCTGATGGCATTGGCTGGAAGCTTTGCTGCCGGATGTTTGAGTAACGCAGGGGACGAGGCCGGGATCATCACCATCCTTCCCCCGAAAAATATAAATCATTCAGCCAAATAACTACCCTCTGGTAATTTAACATAGCTATTGAAAATGGCCATTTATAGTGGATTTTCCCATTAATAATGGTGATTTTCTATAGCTATGTTAAATTACCAGAGGGTATTTATATGGTCACTTTTCAAAGGAAGTTGAGTTCGAAAACTTCCGAGGTACGGACGAATGTCACGAATGTCCAGGGGCAGTCTTTTCATCACGTCATCAAGTGATCATCATCATGTCATCATGTGATCATCATGTCAACAACATAGCAAGCAAAAGCAGTTCGTATGTGGGAGCAGTAGAGAAGAGTAACAGTTCGGGATGCGTGAATTCACAGGTGAAAACATGCGTGGCTTCTCCGAACGCCTCAGATTTTTACAATTTTCTCGTGAAGTCGAGCTCTCGCTACATTCTCGTGCGCTTTTTTTGTCCACAGCGAGGCCCGCAACCGCGGAAACAAGCACCCTACTTCTACAACAAAAGGAGCCATATTGCCTGAAAAAACAGAGGGTTTCCACATTGTGAGCGCTGCGCGAAGGTTGGTCGATTTGGTGTGACACTCCCGCTGTGCGGGTTTGCAACCGGCTGTGACAAAACTCAGTGGCACGGCTGTGGGGAGCGAAGCATGAGTGATGCTGCGACGCTCCTGGCAAGCGGGATTGCAGCTGCAAAGTGCTAAGCGCATTGTAACAGCGTCGCAAAAGGTAGTTCTTGACCATAGTGTTTCTCTTGTGCTATGCGGGATTGCAGCTGGAGGTTGCTATAGAAGCTTTGTACCAGCTGCGCGAAGAGAAGAATTGGGTTGCAGAAGCTGCAGAAGAGCGAGCTGGGAGGCAGCTCAGAGCAGAAGTAACCCAGACAAGTGGCTGCTCAGGGAAGAAGTGGCTGAGAGAAGAGTGAAGAAGAAAAGTAGGTCTACTATCCATCCATCCCCCCATCCTTCAAGTGGTTCATTCGTTCACTCATTTAGTCACTGATTCGGTGATTCATGGGTTCATTGCTTCGTTGCTTTATTGATTCACTGATTCCTTGATTCTTTGATTGATTGATTCATCGCCTGATTCATTGATTCATTGCTTCGTTTCTTATTCATCGATTCTTTGGCATATTGATGCTCATTTCTTTATCGATTCATTGGTTCATTGTTTCATTCAGTCAGCTGTGCAAGAATTCTTTCATGTCATTTCATTGGCATCTCAACAAAATATTTCTCATTCTTTGATGCATCTCACAACTTCAACACTTCGTTGTCTCTGCATCTCAAAAAATCCTATGGGCATCTATGGGCAATCTTCTTCCTGTAAATGTTTCATTTCTTCGCAACTTTTGCCTCGGTGGGGGCCGGGCACTGCCTGGTACCTAAGATTGACAGTTTCTCGGCCTTTTAGTGGTCTCTTTGAAACCCTGGGCAGCTGAAGATACCATATGATACTGATGTGGGGCGCATTATGCTCTTCTTGGACATGTGAAGAATCACATCGGGCAAAGCGCTTTCCATGGCCAAGCGTGTTTTGCATGTTTTCGAAGATCCCGAGAAGAGCCGGCAACTTGGGGGTTTTCATTCCCCCCTCCAGTGCTGCCCCATTGGGATATTTTATCAGGTGCTGTGGGTCCCAGTGAATTCTCCGCACTGGATTCAAGGTGGGCCGCAGCACATCTCGGGGCACTGTTGGTAAAACACCAAGCAACCTTCCTGGCGGACTGACATTTTACTTCCTCCTACAGAGTGTCGTTCGAATGAGCACTTGCACAACTTGACCTTGCTCATGCACAGGCAAAGAGAAAGGGCAGGTGGGGGCTTTGGTGTGCCCAGCTTCATCCGATTCCCTTCGGCACTTGGCGCTGCAGGCCTCAGGGCAACTGCATTGGTACCCCGAGGTGACGACGTCCAGCCAGGCACGCCTACCACTGGTTGTAGCGGTTGCACCATTGGTTGATGACTTTCCCCTGTGCCTGGTCGAGGTGTCTCCGAACAAACAAAGTTCCACACACAGGCCCTGGAACACTTTTAAGCTTCTGCACCAGATCTGAAGAGCTTGGTCTCCGAGGAAAGCTGCAGAGTTGGCCATGGAACTTGGAGGTTTCTCAGGCAAGGCAGAGATTATCAGCAGACATCGGAAACATGGAAACGAGGATATTATCATTATTATATCATATATATATATATATGACATATATCAATTATTTCATTGTTATTTTGTCATCATTATTGAATCGCTGAAAAGCTACCTACGGTAGGTTTCCTTTCCAGCACCATTTGGGTGCTTCCGCATTTGCTTGAATCGCTGCTGCTGCTCGGCGTAGTTCAAGTTGTGAACCGGAGTTTTGGGTTTTCAGAGAGTGACTGGTGCAAAAAACGTGCAAACCCCCAATTGAATCTGCAAATGCCACCAATTGCATGATTTGCCAAGCATACAAAGTCACACCAAGTGTTGCCAAATAGTCAAGCAGTCATTGCTTTTCATTCTTTTCCCTAAGTTTTCCAACTGATCAGGTAGCGTCTTTAATGTAATCTGGCGCTGAATATCTCCATTCATAGAAGGTTTTCTTGAGTTTTCCAATGAAAAATGGAGGTTCCTGGGTCAGGTTAGGTTCCCGCAGCCTAAGGCGCTGGAGAGAGAGGTTTTCTGGAGACTTGGCAGTTGCTGGTCATGTCCACCATCGGAAATCTTTGAAAGACATACCATTGAATGATTGGTCAGTTGTTGAGCCAGCCATCCAAGAATAATGTGGGTACATAATGGTACATACGTATATTTATGCATTATATATATATGTATATATATACCCATGCATTGAGTTTGGCAGGCTTGGGTGTGCATGTATCATCTTTAAGTGCTCCAATGAATGCTTTCATTTTGGCTCAAGTAAACTTGAACCAAAATAGCATTCATTGCTTTTTCTTTCTTGGTCTTGGTAAGGGGTGACCTTCCTAGACCTTGATTGATTGGTTCTGGCAAGCAGCGAGTGATTGACAATGGCGACACGGGAGGACAATCAGCGTTGTCATCTGATGCCAACAAGCTCACATTGTGCAGCCCACTGCGCCCTGCACAGCATATCCGCCTGGTGATGCATCGTTGGGCCGATGAGGACATCGCAGATTTTCTCGCACACGATGCCTGGGAGACAGGCCAGGAGGACTTGCCTTCAGCATACAGGTACTGCCCTATGGCGCTGCAAGAAAGTCTGGGTTGCGTGGATGATTGAGTGGCTCACCACATCAATAACCAGGGGTGACCTGGTTGGTTACAAGGGTCGTAAGGGGTGCCCTGGTAGTTGCAAGGGGAGACCGTGCATGCAGCGTAAGCTTCGTGGGAGCGATATCCCGGCGGCCACCGAGGCGACGCTCCTCCATGCTGCTGCGTTCCTGGAGTTCAAGCAGCACGTGGCGAGGCGATGCATTCTTGCCGCAGCAGTCCTTGGAAGACGCCAGAAATGGTTTTTGTACACCCCTCTGCGGCAAGCAGAGTTCCTCAGGGACATTGGCGGCCTGGCACATCGTATTATCCTGCGCTGTGTCATCACCTAAAGTTCGGGGAAACAACGAGTCATCGACAACGGTGACACCGGAGGACAATCAGACCTTTCTTCCGATGCCAATATGCTTACACCATGTAGTCGCACATAAGCCTGGTTATGCGTCGTTGGTCTGAGGACGAGGCCGCGGAGTTTTGTCACCATGATGCCTGGGAGACAGGCCAAGAGGACCTGCCGTCTGCCTACAGGTACTGCCCCATGTCACAGCAGGAGAGCTTAGGCTGCGTTGTCGTCTGGTTTCACTGATGAGTGGCAAACTCCGGTATACCAGGTCTATGCAGGCCTCTTGTTTAGGATCCCCCTGGCAGTCACTTCGTTCAACTGATTTTCCAGACTGTTGGAAGCGCTGACCCGCCGGTATTGCCAAGTTTTGACATCCCTGTACTTTGATGCCGCGATCACTGACGTCCGCTCTGCCAAGGGCTCCGGGCAATGGGCGATGAACCAACTATGCCTGATGATCGGACCCCCATTTGCGGAAGACAAAACGCAGACCATGCAGAGCACTGGCGCTTCTCTGGGACTTACCCATGACCCGAGTTGCATCAATAAGACAGGTCATGTTCGTTTTTGGGCCCGCACCAGACTCCATGGCAAAGTTCGTGATTTCTTGCCACAGCACGTCAAGCAGGCCACTTTACTCGAGGCACAGCTTCCAAACTTTATGGACTTGCAAACTTCTTGGTGCAAGGTATTTCTGGGTGAGTCGGGTATGGCGGTCTCATGGCCATCAAGGCACGCAACTGGAGCTCTCTATGGTGTTGTGCGTCTTGATCGAGCGCCCCGACCTTTTTCGACATCGACATGGTCTTTGGTTCCTCGACAACGTTGCCGCAGTCATGACCTTGGTGAGAGGGCGCTCTAGCAGTTAGCAAAGCTCGGCCATTTGATCCATTTGGCTCTGTTTGCACTGCGTGCCCAGCACTTGAGGGTGCCCCACACTTGCCATGAATATGGATTGGCTTTTTCAGCGAATTTCAGTTTCCAAGTAGGGGTGATCCTACTTCTGGCAACCTGGATATTTGCGATTTCAGCAGCGCTGGCTGCTGCTGGTTTTGACTTCCCCAAGCAAGCTGGGTGTCGGCAGTGGGCACAGAAATGTGGGCGTTTGCTGTTTCAAGCAAGTTGGGTTTCAAGCAGGAGGTGATCCTGCTTGGTGTTCCTGCTTGGTGTAGCCGTACTTGCTTTCGTGACATATATTGGGGTCCAAGCGGGGGTGATCCTATTTGATGGCGCCCAACACTTGCCATGAGTATTGCAAACTTGAGTTTTTGCGTTTTCAGCGGAGCTGGAGGCTGTGGGTTTTGACTTCCCCAAGCCAGCTATGTTTCCAAGGCAACGCTACTTGAGGACCACAGGGGGAGTGACCACAGGGCTGTGGGCCTCTGCGTTCTCAAGCAGGTTGGGTTTCAAGCAGGAGGTAACCTGGTGTGGCCTTATTGCTTTCGTGGCATAGGTTTCGGGTCCAAGTTGGGGGTTGTCCTACTTGAGGGTGCCGAACATCTGCCATGAATATGGCTTGAAATTTTAAGAACAATTTCAGTTCCAAGTAGGGGTGATCCTACTTCTGGGCAACTTGGTTTTTGGCAATTCCAGCAGAGCTGGATGCTGTTGGTTATTTTGACTGCCCCAAGCAAGCTGGGTTTCCAAGTACAGGTAACCCTACTTGAGGATCACAGGTTGCCCACTGGCACTGCCAGAGAGTGACCACAGGGCTGTGGGCCTCCGCTGTCTTAAGCGGGTTGGATTTCAAGCAGGAGGTAATCCTATTTGGTGTGGCCGCACTTGCTTTCGTGACATAGTTTTGGGGTCCAAGTGGGGGCGATCCTACGTTTTGGTGCCCAGCACTTGCCATGAATCTGGCTCGAATTTTTAAGCGAATTTCGGCTACCAAGTAGGGATGATCCTACTTCTGGTAACCTGGGATTTTTGCAACTTCAGCAGAACTGGCGGTTGTTGGGTCTGACTTCCCTCCAGGAAGCTGGCTGGGTTTCCACGTAGAGGTGACGCTACTTGCAGGCCACAGGTTGCCCATCGACACTGCCAGGCAGTGACCACAGGGTTGTGGGCCTCTGCTGTCTTAAGCAGGTTGGGTTTCAAGCAGGAGGCAATCCTACTTGGTGTGGCCCTAATTGCTTTAGCGACACAGGTTCGGCGTCCAAGTGGGGGTGATCCTACCTGAGGGTGCCCAGCAGTTGCCATGAATATGGCTTGAATTGTTTAAGCGAATTTCAGCTACCAAGTAGGGGTGATCCTACGTCTGGAAGCTGGATTTTTGCAAATTTCAGCAGAGCTGGGGGCTGTTGGTTTTTGACTTCCCCAAGCAAGCTGGGTGTCGGTAGTGAGCACAGAGATGTGGGCCTCTGTTGTCTTAAGCAGGTTGGGTTTCAAGTAGGGGGTAATCCTGCTTGGTGTGGCCTTTTTGCTTTAGTGACACATGTTCTGGGTCCAAGTGGGGGTGATCCTACTCGTTGGTGCCCAACACTTGCCATGAACGTGGCGTCAGTTTTTAAGCGAATTTTTGTTTCCAAGTAGGGGTGATCCTACTTGTGGAAACTTGGAGGTTTTCGTTTTCAGCGGAGCTGGAGGCTGTTGGTTTTGACTGCCCCAAGCAAGCTGGGTGTTCTCAGTGCGCACAGAAATGTGGGCGTTTGCTGTCTTAAGCAGGTTGGGTTTCAAGCAGGAGGTATGCCTACTTGGTGTGGCCTTACTTGCTTTAGTGACCTGGGTCTGGGGTCCAAGTGGGGGTGATCCCCCTTGATGGTGCCCAACACTTGCCACGAACATTGCTTGAATTTTAAAGTTAATCTCATCTTCCACGTAGAGGTGACCCTGTTTCTGCAAACTTGAGTTTTTGCGTTTTCAGCAAAGCTGGAGGCTGTGGGTTTTGACTTCCCCAAGCAAGCTAGGTCTCCAAGGCAACGCTACTTGAGGACCACAGGGGCTGTGGGCCTCTGCGGTCTCAAGCAGGTTGGGTTTCAAGCAGGAGATAACCCTACTTGGGCAATCTCAGCAGCGTTGGCTGCTGTTGGTTTTGACTCCCCCAAGCAAGCTGGGTGTCGGCAGTGCGCTCAGATATATTGGCCTCTGCTGTCTCAAGCCGTTTGGGTTTCAAGCAGGAGGTGATCCTGCTTGGTGTGGCCTTATTGCCTTAGTGACGTAGGTTTGGGGTCCAAGTGAGGTAATCCTACTCGTTGGCACCCGTGTTTGCGTTTTCAGTAGAGCTGGAGGCTGTAGGTTTTTACTGTCCCAGCAAGCCAGGTTTCCAAGTAGAGGTAACGCTACTTGAGGTTCACAGGTTGCCCATGGGCATTGCCAGGCAGTGACCACAGGGCTGTGGGCCTCTGCTGCCTTGAGCAGATTGGGTTTCAAGCAGGAGGTAACCCTACTTGATGTGGCCTTACTTGCTTTTGTTACATAGGTTTGGGGCCCACGTGGGGGCGATCCTACGTGGTGGTGCCCAACACTTGCTGTGAATCTGGCTCGAATTTTCAAGCAGATTTCAGTTTCCAAGTAGAGGTGATCCTACTTTTGGAAACTTAGATTTTGTAAGTTCAGCAGCATTGGCTGCTATTGGTTTTGACTTCCCCAAGCAAGCTGGGTGTCGGCAGTGCGCTCAGACACACGGGCCTCTGCTGTCTCAAGCCGGTTGGGTTTCAAGCCGGAGGTGATCCTGCTTGGGGTGGCCTTATTGCCTTAGTGATGTAGGTTTGGAGTCCAAGTGGGGGTAATCCTACTTGCTGGCACCCGTGTTGGCGTTTTCAGCAGAGCTGGTTTTGACTGCCCCAGCAAGCCAGGTTCCAAGTAGAGGTAACGCTACTTGAGGTTCACAGGTTGCCCATGGGCATGGCCAGGCAGTGGCCACATGGCTGTGGGCCTCTGCTGTCTTAAGCAGGTTGGGTTTCAAGCAGGAGGCAATCCTACTTGATGTGGCCTTACTTGCTTTTGTGACATAGGTTTGGGGCCCACATGGGGGCGATCCTACGTGGTGGTGCCCACCAATTGCCATGAATCTGGCTCGAACTTTTACGCGAATTTCAGCTTCCAAGTACGGGTGCTCTCACTTCGGGAAACTTGAGGAGCAGGGCATCTATGGGCGAGTTGGCTATGGTGGCCTTATGGCAGTGAAGGCTTGCCAGGACGAGAGTGCCACCAGCTTGACATCAGAGATTGAAGAATGCTTCGAGGTGATCGAAGCAGTGATCCGTTTCGAGCCAAAACGTGAATTTACAGTTTTCCCAATGGAGCGGCTTCGATTTTTGGCTGCATCAGATGCAGCTGTCAAAGCGGAGAATCCAGGATCAGGCGGTTTTCACCTCATCTTTTTACAACCCGACAAACGGGAATTTCCCGTGCTGCGCTTCGAGCATCTGCGCTTCCTCGCGGCATCAGATGCAGCAGTTGAAGCAGACAATCCAGGTTCAGGAGGTTTTCACCTGATCTTTTTCCAGTCAGACGGATCACAAATTCGTCACAGTTTTGTGGCCAACAATTGTGCAGAGCTTCAGACACTATGGCAGCCTGCAGAAACCCACATCGCCCAGCTGGAACTCTCGATGGTGCTCTACGCCTTAGTCGAAAGACCTGACCTGTTTCGAAATCGACACGGCCTCTGGTTTTTGGACAATGTTGCAGCCGTCATGACGCTAGTGAGAGGACGTTCTAGCCATGCCGACTTAGCGAAGCTAGGTCATTTGATCCACTTAGCTCTGTTTGCACTGCGAGCCCAGGGTTACTGGGAGTATGTCCAGAGCAAGAGCAACTGGGCTGATGACATCAGCCGACTTGGCGTCAATGATCCATGGTGGCGATGCCATGGTTTTGAATTTTACTCGTCGTATCTCCCGACCATCTTTTTCCAGCTGCCTTTTGTTGTTGTCATTCTCACCTTTGAATTCCTTTAATGCTTTGGGAAGTTTAGTGCATTGGGTGATACCTGCAGAGCAGGTTCCAGCCTGGAGTTCCAGGTAGCTGACCAGTGGTGAAACTGGTCTGGGGCTATGTACATGTCACACAGTGACAACCCAAAGCAAACCTGAGGATTGCAGGTGACATTGACTCAACATAGGCTTGGCTGTGGAAAAAAGGAAGCTGCGAGAGCGCGATCAGTATCGAGTTTCAGATGGCACTTTGAGATGTACCCATGCATTGAGTTTGGCAGGCTTGGGTGTGCATGTATCATCTTTAAGTGCTCCAATGAATGCTTTCATTTTGGCTCAAGTAAACTTGAACCAAAATAGCATTCATTGCTTTTTCTTTCCCCACCCTCCCAACCCTAAGAGCCGACCTCCCGTGGAGACGCCCGCCTAGGTTAGGGGAGCCTGCAAGGCAGGCGAGTACATAGCCTCTATCGGGGATCCTCTCTTGGGGTGACCAAGAGAGGCCTACCCTCCCTTAGGTTAAGGGACGGGTGATACCTGCAGAGCAGGTTCCAGCCTGGAGTTCCAGGTAGCTGACCAGTGGTGAAACTGGTCTGGGGCTATGTACATGTCACACAGTGACAACCCAAAGCAAACCTGAGGATTGCAGGTGACATTGACTCAACATAGGCTTGGCTGTGGAAAAAAGGAAGCTGCGAGAGCGCGATCAGTATCGAGTTTCAGATGGCACTTTGAGATGTATATATATATATATGTATATATGGTATATATTAAATTGCGATCACCATGCCAGGTAGATTTCAGCAGATTTCCTGTGCCAGCATGGGGATGGTCACTGAGGGAATTCTTGGCTGCTAACTGCTGGTATTGGCACCTTGGTCTTGTTGGAGATCATCAGAACACCAACTTGGTCCGGTTTGGTGCGCTCAACGAGTCCAATACTTATGAAGCTCGAGTGAGTCCACCATGAAATGTGGGTGTAGCTGTGTAGGCTACAACATCCACTCCAAAAATTATTCGAAATGAAGACTGGCCAGTCCATTCTTCGCTTGTTTGCCAGTTTCATCAATTCCTCCATCAGTGGCTGATGTCATCAGTGGCCGGTCCTCAATAAACATCAACTGAAGCAGCATTGCGAACAAACTGCAATGGGCTCATCGATTCTTTTTGAAGTCTGTACTGTACACAATTGAGCAGGGCCCCACCCTTCTGGTGATTGATGGACATAGTATATACATATGTACAATGTACATATATATATATACATATAAATATGTATACATATGTATATACATAATCTATATATAATATAATATTATGTAATATCATTTAATATGATATGATATGATATAATATAAAATAATATAATATAGTATAAGATAATATATTATGATATGATATGATATAATATAATTTAGTATCATATAATACAATATGATGCAATATAATATATAATATAGTATAATATAATATAATATAATATGATGCAATATAATATAATATACTATAATATAATATAATATATAATATTATATACTATAATATAATATAATAAAATATAATATAATAATATAATAATATAATATAATAATATAATATAATATGATATAATATAATGTAATATAATATAATATAATATAATATAATACGATCATAATACGATATAATATAAAATAGTAAATATAGTATAATATAATATAATATGTTATAATATAATATAGCAATACAATATAATATAATATGATACAATATAGTATAATACACTATAATATAATAATATAATCATAATATATATATATATAATCTAGTATATATGTATAATGCGCACATTTTTGTGCATTGGGCTATGCTGGCTTATGGGGGAGTTTTCGTAATCCACTATAAGACCCCCTATCAACCAGTAGAGCTCAGTAGAGGGGGACGACAGAGGCCTTTAGCGCTGCTCACTTGCAATTTCCCGTTGTTGCTCCACAGGGAAAGTAAGATTTTCCTGTGCACTGCATTATCCCGTGCAAAACGCGTGCCGACTGGCCGCAGCGATGAACAGGTCTCCGCGGGCGGGTATTGCGCAGGAGCGATAGGTGTCAGGCTTTCCCACTTTCTAGAGTTCATGAACCAAATTTCCCATCAAGAACATGGTCACCTGGTGGCCTGGTGATAGAAAGGAATGCCTGCAATCATGTAACTACAGCTTGAAGTGCGGCGAATTTTGTATTGTCAGCACTGCAAGCATTTGATGTACTTTGGAGATGCGCATTCTCCAGCCTAGTGCAAGGCCGCTAGAATCCGCTGGCAACTGCTAGCAGTTGAACTCGGTTTTTAAGTCCTGAGTTCATTTCATATGGCCTTTGGGCTTCATTTAGGTCTTTTGGCAATCCAGCAAACCCGCTTCAACCTGGGTGCAAAGATGTTGTGCTTTGTGTGTCAGCACTGCTTTTTGGGAAGGTCAACGGTCACCAGGCCATACCTCATGAGTTTCTCAGCATGATCACTGCCCTGGCTACTGCTTTGGCCTATGGTGCAGTTTGAATCTTCAAGAGCTTGAGAGAAAAGGAGAAACCTAAAATAAAAATCCAAAATTTGGTTGATTTTACAACTTGGAACCCTTCTACTGGCGGATTATATTCAAGCCGGTTCCTTCGACTGCGCAGGAATCCCTGCGAAAGGCTCAAGATACTGTCAAGCCAAGCTCTCAAGTCTCAATAGGGGCATTTCCGGGATGAGTGGGGAACAATCCAACTGAGTCTAGTCTGCCACTTTGACTGCTGTCGACCTCTCTATAAAGAGCCTGGGGCATACAAGCTGGACTAATCATAACTCCCCCATGTATGCATGGCTTTCCGAAACATTTTTTTTGAGTATCCCCAAATCCTGTGGTTTATCATGATTTTCCGGTGGTTAAAGTGGCAGTTGCCATTTGGGTATAACATTTTTTTTTATCCCCCCGTTTTTCTGTTTCCATTTACCCAGATGGGAAAGAGGCAAAAAAAAGTCACGGCTCAGGATGGGGAAAACCTTGGAAGAAGAAGGAGTTAAAGTGAAGGTCAGAGGGATGTCATGAAGCAGATGTCCAAGTGAATTGGTTGAAGGGAAAATTCACAGTACACCCCCCTTTTTGAAGGAGAAAATCATGGTTTTCTGCAAAATCACCTGAACCGATCCATTGAAGATGGTAATTCAGCAGGACTTACCGCATCGGTTTTCCTCTCAGATGAGGCGTTTTATTTTTTGGGTCAACAAGCCGCTGCTGATGGTTTAGACACTGATGATCTTCGGGAAAAAAACATACAGAATGTGAAAAATTTAACATAGCTATTGAAAATAGCCATTTATAGTGGATTTTCCCATTAAAAATGGTGGTTTTCCATAGCTATGTTAGTTTACCAGAGGGTACAGAATGTGAATACGGATGACTCCTGGAGCTTGGAGCTTGGCATAGAAACAGCTGGTTCCATCAAAGGGCTGACATACCCATGATGGTACCCGGATAGTAAATATAAGGAACTTCTAGTAGTGGCCGGATGACCACTGACCATAGCATATATATGCATATATGGAACTTGTGGGGAATCGGATCTGGTTGCTCACAATTCGACTCCTGACCAATTTTGGCCGACCGCACCAGGAGGAGGAACGGGAGACTATAGGCGGGCCGATCACGTAATTGTCTTATACCAAATCCAGGGGGAATCCTCCAATCAAACGAGAAATGATACTTTACAACCCACATGGGCTCAGCCCTGGCCAATGGATGAAAATCTCATGTTCCCTATCATTTACTGGCCACATACAGGATAAAATCACCATTCTTGAACGATACCTCTGAGGTCTCGAAGTTAAACCCATGCCCATATGACCAAAATCCATCCACGCTTTCTGTCATCGAACCTGTTAACCCAAAAGTTCAACTGTTGACGGTAACTTCCATCTATCAACGGCGAGGTGGGGAATTCTTCCCAGTCAGATGGAGGGTTTTTTGCACTTGCCAGATTTTGAGGCCGGGAGCAGATTGACCTGGATATGAAGCTGGAAAAGAAGGCACGTTGGGTGCAGCGAACCTGCGAACGCTTCGGGGGTTGAGTTTCCCTTTGCAGATCCTGATGAGCTGCTTGTAGTGGAAGATGTGGAAGAGAAATAGCTGCAAGAAGTGTAAAAAAGAAGAGTACACTAGTCATATCGCGTCATATTGACATGTATTGAATCATGAAATAGTCTCACAGTACCAATTATTTGGAATCAAAGAACATATGGGTAGGTTTGAAAAATGGGATGCAGTGGTTAAAACAATAAACCATCCATAAATAGGTGGTAGTTTTACCATTTCCACTCATGGGTGGTTTATGGCATTGTTTTACCCACATTACAGTGATACAAGATTGTTTATAAACCATTATAACCCCCATGAACTAGTTCATTATATCTACCACAAACCATAGAATTCCGCCACTTATGAGGCAACTGAACGCTATCTTGGGGGCCCCATGCTGTACAAATTGAGAAAAACCTGGGTTTCTCATCGTTTTTTTTTTCCGCAGGAGGCCGTGTTGGAGGAGCGTGTCCGACGCACCGAGCAGCTCTTGCAGCAGGAAGAGAAGGCCTGATGCCCGGCGGTTTTTCTATGTAACAATGGATGAGAACCATGGAATATTATACACATAACTCATATAACATATTATAACCACCTGTCTACAAGCAACTAGTTGTATTCCAACCATAGTTGGCTTGGTATATTATATCAGATTATATAATATACAGTATAATTTAATATATATTAACTAACCCACTATGTATGATATGGATTTGTCTAAACAGGTTGGAAAGGCTGCCAAAATTGATTGTCTAAAAAAACAACATCTCATTTTTGGACATCATATGGGTTATAAGTTATAATATGTTATAAGTTATAAGATCGGCTATATTGGGATGTGCAGAAAGCTGGATGCCTTCCATTTGAAGGAATTTGCAGAGTTTTCTCAAATGGCCAACCACGTATAAAGATGTATAAAGTATATAGATAGGCGCAATACAAATTCGAGGGTGTATGATCTCGCCTCTCAAACTGCATTCCCTAATTTGCCCACCAAGAAAGTATCACCTTTCCCACAAGAACTAGATGAGAGGCGAGCAAGGTTGGCTGGACACATTTTACGTGTGCCAAATTCCGATCCTCTCAGACAAGTCTCATATCAGATTATCAACCAGATAGCGCTGAAGCCATCAATATTGGTAAACATCGAGTTGGACGTCCTAGACAGCAGCGCTTGTTCAGGTCAACCAAACTCATTCCCAATCGGATAAGCCACACAGACTATAATGGGAACCCTTTTTCAAAACACTAAGATTCTACGGACAGCGTTATCAAAGGACCGTATGAGACCATGCCAAGCGCCGATTCTGTTGAATTGCAATTGCTTGTGACTGAATGCCCAAGAGAAAACAAGATTGAGATGTCATGGGGATATAATTGATTATAACATGATATAATCACATATATATATATATGATGGGGTTGTCCAAACAGGCAACTGTGTATATATGTATAGAATGTATTTCGTATATGTGTTGTATATATATATATATGTATAACCAGCTTACGGTGATTTGAAAAAGTACTCCAATGGGGCATGATACTGCGGGCAGGAATTGGATGATGAACTTCCTGCTATTGAGCGTGAGGTCGGGCAAAATCAGAGCTTAGTTTTTGGCGGATTTCGAGAAAGTCAACGAAGCAAGGTGAGATATGGAAATCTATGGGAATCCCGCATCTGTGTACAAATGGGTATGTTTTTCATATTACATAAACTTGCTGGAGAGTAAATAGAAAGACTCTGGTGATTTTTTGGCGGAACAGAGGAAGAACCTGGAAGTGGATGGAACGGGTCAAAAGGGTATGATTTTCCATATGTTGGGGATAAGCATCCTTGGGGATTGTTGCATCCAAAATTCCCATGAGGGTACCAGGGTTTTGATTCATAGCGATATCCGGTCCCGATAGTCTCCATAAAACAGTTCCCAGATGTTTCACAGACCTTTGCAGGCTGGTGGCGAGAAGGTGAAACAGCTTAAGGATGAAAAACTCCAGCAGAGAGCTTGGATATGCTTGGATATGCTTGGATAGAGCAGAGATGGGTAATGGGCAGAATATGGCAGAATGGCCATGTCAAATTGGATGCTCAAGACATTTAAAACTGATCATGAAGAATTTGAACAGTACAGAAATGAGCTCAAAAACGCGGCGACTTGGGCAGATATTTTTTCCATGTCACATTAAATCGAGCGATTTCCCAGGGTGGAAGCAGCCAGAGAAAGGTTGAGGGCGGAGGCATGGAGGGCATGGAGGGCATGAAGGGCTCGTCGATCATCCCATCAGAGCAACATCCCTTAGCTCCGACCGACGAAAAAGCGACGCCAGGAGCTGGAGATCAGGCAATCCGAACGACGCATCGACGAGGCCCCTGGTTTTTATCGAATGGAGTCCAGTCGTGATAGAAAAATCACTGGCTCAATGGGTAACTTAAAAATCATATTTTGAACATATAAATTGGGATTCATATATATATATATATATTTATGGGGGAGGTATACCTATAGTTACTATAGTTTGGTGTTATCTTAACCAATCTGCATATTATATACCTGGGGTGGGGTGTGCCAGGAAGTGAGAAGGCTCCGGAGGGACAGAGCCTTGCGCGTGTGGAGCTCAGGACACATGGCCCCGCAAAGGTATCATCAAACATGGCTGGAAAATCCCATGGAGGTTTTTGTTGCTGGGAAAAACATAAAACTAAATGGGGGATAGTGGCTTGTGATTTTCCAATTTTTCAGACATTTACCATGGAACTGCTGATAGTCTTGGACGATGATTCCCTGTGAAACTTCATAGGATACTGCCACATCAAGGGTTGTCTCAGGTCTTCAACGTCCTTCCAGCCTTCAAAGTTCTTCTAGGGCCAGCGACCCCAGTGTCGTTTTTTTTTTTTCTGACTCGTGGTTTACTTTCAAGGTTCTTCTAGGATTCTAGGGCAGTGTTTGAATTTGGGGAATCTCAAACGTTGGGGATGCATTTTTGGGGATATCAAAACCATTTCGCTGAAGAAAATCCTGTTCATGGCCATTCCCAGGGCTGGCGGTGCCTAGTGAGGCCTAGTGCTAGGAGACTTCGAATTAAAGTGCACCCTTGAAGAAAGCTCAAGGAAGCTTGCAACATCTTACGACGTGCATTGGTCTCTGCATCTGAGAAGTGGCAAATTGTCGCAAATGCAAATTCAAAAACCAGAGTGTCAAACCCTTGAACACCATTGCACGTCATCACCTCAATACCATGCTGCAATTTGAATCGCAGCGTGTAATTTTCCAGTCAGAGGTGCCCTGAAAGCCTTCTGCTGAAGTGGGTGTTGGCGTTGGTCAAATGGTCAAAACCAATTCTAATTGCTGTTGTTTGCCAAGCAACGAGCTTGGTATCCCGATGTTGACCTGGGTCCGTTACCGGTACCAGCGGGTACCAGGGTATTGAGTGTTGACCCACACCCAAGTTGAATGTGAACGTTTTAGCTGCACTGCGTTGTGCGTGAGGGCACTGGGTGATGCCCCGGCGTCTCGGGCGCCGAAGGAAGCATCACCATGCGGCCCTAGGCAGTCTTTAGTTTGCGAAGCCTGCTTGGCAATGAGCCTTGCAGGGCAGCGCATAGCTGCGCAGCATGCGTAGCCACAGTTCGCTCACAGCGCCAAAGATGGCTTTTCGAGCGATGCCAAAAAGGCTGGCCCTCTGATTCTGTGTATGGAATTCACCGGCAGAGAAGCCCATGGTCAGTCACTTTCAACTGTTGCAAGGACGCCAAGCAAACCATCGGAGTCAGGCAGAGGAGAGGTCTTTCTGGACTTGATCTATTCAGATCCTGGTGGAAGGGATGGAGCATCATGAAGGTACCGGTAAATGTTCAGAGTATTCCAGGGTACCTGTCTACGCTGTGTTGACCTTGATGCATCTGGTGAGGAAAATGGAAGCCGCCGAGCATCGCAGACAGGACTTGCATCTGAAGGCCGCTGGAGATAGGATCAAATTGGGGACCGAACATCCTTGGTGAATGGTGAAAAATGGGAAACACTATAGGCTATAGGATTAGTACAGGAATAATTGTCCTAGCTGGTTGAATGGGGAGTATGACCTGCTGCAGTCTGGGAACGCCACGCCTTCAACCAACCAGTTGGGCATCCCCAGCAATTTGATGAAGCCCTACTTAGTCAATAGCTAATGCTGATGCAGCGAAGCATGGCCAAAATCCCGGGGCAGATTGAAATGGATTGAACATTTTCACCTGAGCACCGCGAGCACCCCCCAAACTCGAAGGTGCAAGAGGCTTGCCGGGAGCAGATGGAAACGGTGTGGCAGAAGGCCGCTGGCCGGTGCTTGAAGGTTGAGCCAAATGTCGAGCCGGAAACAGAAGCAGTCTTGCATAGTCTTGCTGCTGGTAGGTTGATGTGGCAGAGAGGAAAAAGGAGGAGAAGCGACAGGACAGCTGTCAGCCTTCCTTTCAATGTTTCAAACATTATGACTGGGATCAGTCTTGACCAACAAGTCTTGCAAGGCTGAGGATCTGAGATATCTGAGTTCTGGTCATGATTGCGCTGAGATGCAGCCATATGCTATGCAATGCTTCCCACGCCCTTCAATGATTAGTCCAAATATTCGTCCTTAAAACAGAACTGACAAACTTGGTGAGGAAAGACACCAGACAATCATCGACAAGGCAAGGTCTTTTCAGCCGAGCCATCCAGGAAGGTTGACAAGATGTCAGACGCAAGAGAATGGTAAGTATGTTCGGCATGATGGATCTTTCTTTGAAATCGTGTTGTTTAGAAGCATGTTTGCAGAAACTCGATTTCCAAGGCAATAGCGTTGCAAGAGCGACTAGCCAAATTGCGAGGGGAGACTTCCTCGGAGAAGGACTTGCCGCAGCCTTTTCCATCCTTTTCCTGGGGAACTTGTGAAGACATGCTTCAAGAAATAGCATCACAACACCCCGTCGGCTTGAACTTGTCTTGCCAGGGCTGGTTTCATCTGCTTTCTATATTCATTTTTTTAATCCAAGGCATTTGGTAACTCGCAGCGAAACAACATGCTATGTGTGCAGGAAGATGAGAGTTCGGGCGAAGGAGCCAATGCAGCTTTTGGTTAGCGAGTGGATGCTGATTGGATGCTGTATATGCTGTAATTTCCAACCCTGAAGATGGTAGAGAGTAAACTGCCAAGCTGCATCACCCTTTGAAGCGCTGATATCAGACAAAGTTCAAATGGGCCAAAATGGCTGAAACATACATCCAACAATCCAAGTCAAGCAGACGAAGAAGACACATTTACATTTATATAATTTAAAAAACATGTAATTTTTCGCTGATTTTCCTTCATCACTCATGGTATACCTTTGAGTTTTACAGCGTTGGACTGCAGGACATGAACTATCACCCCGCAAGCAGGAGCGTCGCCAAATGCTGGCAATGTTTTGTTTTTTTTGTTTCACACATTCCCTCAATTTTTCTGACAGGTAGCACATACTTTTTTAATCACATCATTGGTTTGTTTTGAGGCAGGAGCCAGAGGCTCAACAAAGCATCTTGACCGCAATCTTTGGATGGACCGCTTGGCTTATGGCCACCTGGTTGTCCAAAAAGTTCTCACTTTTTTCCCCCCCGCAAAGGTCCAGAATGATCAGAATGATCCAGCATCCAGTAAACAATGTAAACATCTCATTTGGGGAGAGTTTTGGGGCCCTGGGTAGCCCATCCCCATGTTTTGGGTCGACTTGTCGCCTAGGGAGTCCCATCCTGATTCGAAGATTTCGAAGGCCACAGAGAAGCAGCCTCAGCAATCTGCGGTGCATTTTTTTGTGTTTTTTTTTGGGCAGCGTGGAGCCCCGAGGAAAAAGGAAGTGGTGGAAGAAGAGGTGGGAGAATGAGGGGACAATGATGATGATGCTGATTATTCCCATCATATCATTGTCCGACTTATCTTATCACATCTGAACAATGATATATATATATAATGATATATAGGGATTATTCAAGATTGTTTGGGGATGTTTGGGGCAACACTTAGTCCCACAGCTGGAAGGGTGAAGTTGATATGAGGCGCTGCAAGGTGGGTCAAGCCAACAAATCATCAGCTATGACTCCAAGGACCGCCATTCCTGCCGCGGTTTGCGTGTAACTAGTGCGTCAAGGGCTGATGGTTTTACACCATTTTACAGGTATATATATATACATATATATATATATACACAGTAATCATGTTTATATATAATCTATAAATATCTATAGTACATATTTCATAATATATTTTTTTGCATAGCGCATCCCTTTCCATGAAACTACAGCTCCATCCCTCTGGGGTTTATCGGTCTGGTGATTCAGGAGCTGATCGTTGCCAACAGCAAAGCGCACAAGGAGCGGTCAGAAATGGTCAGAAATTGATGAAACTTCACCTACAAACAGCTATAGTTTGATATACCCTCTGGTAATGACTAACTGACATTCACAGTTCGCGACATTGAAGCCATGACCCACTCGAAATAGTGGATAAAAACCCTTATCAAAAATGGTGGATCTTTCCATCGTTTTTTGTATGTTTTACCATTTCGGGTTTTCCGAGCCAATGACTTGACCATCTTGACCCCGCAGCTCTAGGACTATGTGCAGCGCTGTGGGAAAATACAGCAGGCGACAGCCGCCAGGTTTTTTCAGTCCCTGCGACTGGATTTTCAATGATTTTCATGGCAGTTAGTGGCTGGTTTTTTGAGGATTTTTGACGGTGGTTTTGAGGCGGGCTTTGACATGCAAACGAAGAAGCATTTCAAAGTTCTTGCAGACGTCGTAGCCTTGGCTGTCTGGACAATTGCAACATTGAGATGAGTTTTGATGTAGATGATGTAGGTCTTGGGGTCAATTTGAATTTCGTACTGCCCACATCCTTTTTCCTCACTTCTACGAGCGCAAACGTTGATCATGTGGAACAAGAAGGACTGGGAATAGGAGACAAAGGATAAAGGTCGCAGAAAGAGTTCTTGACAGCCAGTCACCTGAAGATTTGCAAAGATTTGGGCTTGGGGTACAATTTCAAGACATTCTGAGACTTTTTCCAAATGGCCTTGCTACCAGAGGCTGCGGTCATTGACGAGAAAAATGATCCCCCTGTGGCACGGATGAGGCCCCGGTCAACCCAAACTTTCCGGCCTGACCTAACTGAGATCCAAAAAAGAAACCAGGATTGATGAACCTTCACCTACAAACAGCTATAGTTTGATATACCCTCTGGTAATGACATTCACAGTTCGTGACATTGAAGCCATGACCCACTCGTTAAATAGTGGAAAAAAACCCTTATCAAAAATGGTGGATCTTTGGTGGGAATCTTTCCATCGTTTTTTGTTAACGTTGACCATTTCGGGTCGAAGATGATACTCTTTCCATTTCTGTGAAGCACTGTGGCGTTGCCATGATCCAGGCCTCTCTGATAGACTAAGATATCTTTCTGGACAGATCCACCATTTTCAATAGGTTCTTATCAACTATTTCGACTGGGCCATATTTTCAATAGCTATCTTAGTACCCTCTGGTAATTTGTTACATAGCTATTGAAAATGACCATTTATAAGTGGATTTTCCCATTAAAAATGGCAATTTTCAATAGCTATGTTAAATTACCAGAGGGTAAAACCAGAGGGTCAAGTCGCTTGTCCAAATGACTTGACCGCCAGGTCTCTGCATGCCAAGCACATCATGGAAGGTCCAAAGCGGCGGCAAAGGATGCAGGAAGCGACAGCAAGTTTCGATCTCAAAAAACTGGGACGTTTTTACCCATGGAAAACCATCCAAAAGTTGTCACACGGAACTGATATGAACTGATGAAACTGCGCCTGCTGAGCTGTTTTTTTGATTCTCCGATCATCTTTCGGCGATGATGAGGTGGTAGTTCTTCAGCACGCACACCTCGTCAAATGGTGCCGACCTGCGGATTGTGCGAGGCCGCGAATCATGCTGCGCATGCCAATGCTTCTGTATCTTCTGTTCAGTGGGTGTTCGCAATCTTGCTTTGTTCCAAGACTTCAAAAAATACCCTCTGGTAAACGTAGCTATAGAAAATCGAGCAGAAAATCACCATTATTAATGGGTAAATCCACTATTTCGACTGGGCCATTTTCAATAGCTACGTTAGTCATTACCAGAGGGTAATTTCAAGGAGCCCCTCAGGATTTGATGGCGATAAACCGGCTGGCTTTCAGATATTTGATAGTTCCATATATTTCCTACTCCTTCAACCCTGCCAGCGCCGCTTCCCGCTGAAGAATCTGATCGGAAGCGCTCTGAACAAGACGGGGTCTTGGATATTTCACGCAGGCAATAGCTTCGGATGGATCAAAACCTACACCAAATGACTGAAAATATTGAACCTAGGGGGTTGAACATCCAGAAATCTCTGCTATGCTGTGAAAGTCACGGTGGGTTTTGACAGCCCATGGCAAGAAATCCCGCCAACCTTTTATAGATCCTACGAAACAGGAATTCGTTGAATGCTATGGCAAGGGTGAAACTGTGTGCCGTTGTGTTTCTGACTTGAACTTAGGACATCTTAGGACATCTTAGGACGTACTTACAGACACCAACTGGTCAGCGGCTGGCCATGGTGAAATGATGTGCCGCACGACTCAGGACCTTGCAGAAGGTCAAGGAGGAGCTGAAAGGCTCAGAGTCAATGGAGTTTTGCAGCACCCCGCAGGCCGAAACCTGGAGCAATCACCAGGTTTTTTTTGAACAACTCTGGTTTAATCTTGGAGTTAATCTTGGATTTAACATTGTTGATTTAATTTTCATTCTGATTTAATCTTGGATTTAATACACGATGAAATCTCATTTTGTGGGTCACTCTGGGGATGTTTCAACGGGAAGAGATAAATTAAAACCATCCGCAAACTATGGTTTATGGATGTTTATGGTATTGATGCTTTTAGTAGTTTATGTTTTTTTTTGTAAGTCACTCATCACCGACAGGTGTTGAACTTTTTCTTGGGTGCACCTCTGAAGGCAAGCGCTGCTGTGGTACCTACATCACAAACAGCTACCGAAAGGACGGGCTTGACCGGGGCATGTGGAGCCATGAAAAATACCTATGTTGATGGAAAAAAGGGAGTTATACTAACTGGCTTAAACTGGGGAGTATCTTAGCCCAATAGCCCATAATAGGAATATATAGGAATATTTACTAACCAACCAGTATAATGGGAAGGGTGTATTTTGAATGGCACAACATTTTTACACTGACCCAGTGCCGCGAATCCCAAGTAACCAACGAGTACCTTCCAAGGCCAGCAGATGCCCAGGCTTCTCAGGCGTGTCAGCTGGGACACCATCCAGAAACCATGGTCTAGTCGGAGATGAAACCACATATGACTGGGACCATACAAAATCGTTTTTTTTTTTCATATGAACGGGGGATGGGATTGGCAAGAGGGAATCATACCCAAATGGCCCTATGGTATAGGAGCTATTTTTAGCATTTTTAGCTTATGCAGCCAGACAACTGATTCACTTATCCATTTTGGGGGTTGATCATTTTGCACCCTCAGACACTTGGATGAACTGAATATGACTGAATCATCGAGGTAATGAGGTAATTTTGACCCAATTATATGGCCACCCTTGGAGGATGGACTCAAGAGGTTGTTAAACACCCCATCAGCTCCACATTTTTGGGTTGTTTTTTAAGACCTTATTGTTGGGGGGTACCGGCCAGGCTGAAGACAAGATCCTACCTGGCGTTCGGCTGTACGACACAGAGATCCCACTCTGCGCGTGCAAAACTCGGAACTTTCATCCCAAACAGCGACATGTCGTGAAGAACCAGCTCGAACTAAGAAAAGAACACCTATATAGTTGAAACAAACAGTCTGCCAGTTTCATGGGGGATTTCAGATTTTTTTTGGTGAGATATCTGGATATTTGATGCTGTTTGATGCAAGCCGTTTCTCCCATTCACAAAGTGCAGGGCTTTCCCTCTGCTGAAACTTGCTCCGAGGGCTTGTTACCACCGGGTCCGGATTTGCTCGAGCTCCAAAGTTTGACAGTGAGCGGACTTCTTTGGCCTCCACAGACTCCACAGGTGGATTATTCGACATAGTTCATCATCATGAACACATGTTACATGAAGTGCCAGTAGTGGTTGTTTAAAATTTTAATACTCTTCTGTTATATGCTTTCAAACTGCTACTTTCTTCTTTCGATTCAAGCAGTTAGCCAAAGGCAGCGTGCTTTCGTATCCTGAAGCAACAGTTAATGTGACGAAGAGTGCCGGCAACCGGCCCTTCCATGCAGTTGGACTATGTTGGACTGAGGTTTTTTGTACGTTGCTGCTCAAGTCTAGTGCTGTCAGCAACAATTCCAGTCCACAGGCTGAAAAGCGGCCCGCGGTTCCAGTCCGATTTTAGCCCTTGACAGGACCCACGTCGCTTTAACTTTTGCAAACAAACGGATGAAGCATCTTGGTTCTGTCGAAGCGGTGATTTGATAGCGCATGTGGCAAGCCTAAGGCTTGGTGTAAGCAGAAAAAGGCCCGGTCACATGTCGCATTACTCGCATTTTGCAATGAGGAAATGACATCGTCCTTCCGGGCACGTTCGTTCCACAGTCACCGCCGACTCGTGTTTAGCTGATCAAGCCCACAACTGGCGGTTGGGCATGTTGGGCCAAGATGTCAAGCCGCAAAGTGCTGCAAAGTCTCAGCTTCTAATTTAATCTTTAATCCTCTGGATTTGAACACCTGCAGTCATCTCTTAAAAGCATCACCACTTTTTCCAGAATACACAGAACAACACGTTGGGTTCACTGTGGGGTGCGGCTGTTGTACAAGGCTCTGTGCGCCGAGAGTGATGTCAACCGATGAGCCAAAAAAACCAGGAGGTTACCCTCCGAGTGATCAATGACTACTAACTACTAAAATGGCCCCCTTTTTTCACAGCCCAGGGGGAATCAATCTGAGCTTGCAGGCTGCGTTGCGCCATGCCTCGCTTTGATATGAACAACATGTTAGGGGAGGTGCACGTAACCCGGGGTGGGAAGAAGGTATAGCAACAGGGCAGTTTTCACATACCGCGGATGAGCCGACAAAGTTGGGCGTACAACTTATTCACCGTGCGAGCAGTACAAATAAGTGATTGGGATAAGATCATATGACTAACATTGGCTAAGGTCATGAATCATGAATTGAAAGACCCAAGATCCACCACATTTGACCGGTTTGGACGCTCAAACCCGATGGCATCGGGGTGCTTTCCAGGCTCCTCCGCTGGACTTTGGGCGCCGAGGCCTTTTTGGCTCAGGGCAGATTATGCTAAAAGGTGTCATTTTTGTTCCAGGTTCTAAGTCTTAATATGTTCCAACTCATTTGGTGCTTCAGAAAGTTGGAAGAACTTCCAGCCCCAACTGCTCTCACCTGCATCGACGGTTCTGCGGTTCCCAGTGGAAGTTGATCGTCAAGCCTGGAAGATGCAGTTTTCCAGAAGGCATCAGCCTCTTTCACATGCAGCAAGTTTTTCCTGCTCTGGCAATGTCAGGGAGAAGAATACTCGCCTCCTTCCAGGTCCAAGTGTTTCTGCAAATCGGCTCTGGTGCCCAAGCCTTGTGGAAAACTGGACAATCACGTGGCCCAGGAGAAGAGCGGCCCTGAACTTGAAGCAGCATGCGTATCTTGGCAGGCTTTAGGTCAACTCCAAATTCTGGAAAACGAGTTGCCCCAAAAGTTGATGACCACAATGGCACCATCATTTCTGGTGCATGTGCCTTTTTGATTTCTGAGGCGAAAGAGCGACAGAAGGAACAGGACATCGAGGACGAGAGCAAGGAAGCTTCAGCCGATGTGCTGGCCTACTCAGTTGCTCGGCAGCGCAATGAGTTGATCAGACTCCCAAGGGGTGTTACATGGTGTTAGATGGTGATACCCTCTGGTTATGTCAAAATAGCTATTGAACATGGCCCAGTCGAAATAGTGGATTTTCCCATTAAAAATGGTGGATCTTTCCATAGTTATGTTAGTCATTACCAGAGGGTACATGGGTTTTTATAGGCTGTTGCGCAGTGGAGAACCCATGGATATTCTATCCTCCAAAGATGTCTTTTAAACAGGTCATCCAAACGTCATTGTTGGGATCTCTGCAAGAAGTTGGGAATGATACTGTCGTTACTGCCGTGATCATTTCCGGAATATCTATATCATTCTATATATATATAACATATTTATATTTATATGATGTTTATCGATGTTTCAATATAGATATCATATCTATGTAATATGAAGTAATATGTAATGTTTATTGACTTTGTATTCAACACCTCTCCGTTTCACCGGATGATCATCCCATCCACCACCGCCCGATCCGCTGATCCGCTCCCCTCCGCTCCCCTCGAAGTGAGGCCCGAGAGCATGCCATCCACGAGGCCTGGAAGCACGCAGAGAAGGCCAATGAGCTCTCCAAAGAATCGGCCGAGGCAACGGTGATACCGGTGATGCCGGTGATAGGCTGTGAGAAACTACAAAGTGTGTCAAGAACCTGTGTTAATAGGGATTCCAGATTTTTGGGAGATTCCTGAAAATGGCAGCTGATGGAATGGGATCTCTAGAAGTTGTTTGAAACTAGCTAGAATTTGAACTCGTTAGAACCATTTCATAGGTGTTAGCGCGACGGGATGGCAGTGATTTGGCCCTCAAATGGCTGAGCCTAGCTGCAATGAGGTTATAACTAGCCCAAACGTTGCGGTCACCTGCACAAATCCTCGTTTTATGTGATGGTGAAGAAAACTAGGTCACGGATGGTCATGGTATATCCCAGGACATATAAAGAAATGGATGATAGCTGTGTTAGAGCCAGCTCTCTTCACTAAAAATCGTGTTTGAGAAGTGGCGCAAAATGCATCAAAATGCATCAAAATCGTGATCATTGTTGATCCCCATCTCCCAAGTGATTCGATATGGAACCTTAGTGCAGTTTAGTCACTATAGTCAGAAATATCTCAATGGAATCTCAGGTATCCCATAGGTATTCAATGGTAAACCCTCCATGGCTGGCCACGGGGATTTCCCAGCCATGTGAAATCAGAGACAATAAGTTGATTCAGTTGATTCATAAACTATGTAAACCCAATCAAGATCCACAACTACAGATATATCATGATATATATATATATCATGATATCTATCTGTCTATCTAACTATCTATCTATCTAGCTAGATAGCTAGCTAGCTATCTACCTATCTATCGACCTATCCATCTATCTGTCTATCTGTGTATCTACCTATCTGATCCTATCTGTGTATCTACCTATCTATCTATCTATCGATCGATCTATCTATCAATCAATCAATCAATCACTCAGTCAATCAATCAATCAATCAATCAATCAATCAATCAATCAATCAATCAATCATCACCACCACCCCTTTAAGGCTACTTTTCAGGAGGGACCATACCAAAATGTAAGATACATTTGCAGGGCCCCCCCAAAAACACCTTGAAAAATGTAGCTTACACATTTTCAGTACGTCCCCCTCCTTAAAAACGTGGTGATTATATATCCCCAAGATCTCCATGGGTGCACTTCAGGCGGCCTTGGAAGCCGCCAATGAATCCATGGAGGCTAGGAGGATCCTGGATCAGCACGATATCATTGCCATTGAGAACCAAACGCAGGTCGGGCTCGGATTTTTGTTGATGTTGGGTAAGGGAAGACTCTAGAAGAATCGAACTTGATGAAGTAAGAACGAGGTTTTTTTTGTTTTGAATCAGCAATTCAAACAGAAGAAATGGTGATTCTGGATACGACGGCCTTTTTTCTGGGCTGATTTTGAACGGTGCTCTGGCCATTCGTGATCTTTCGTGATCTTCCAATGGAGATCATCTGGATATATCTGGATCATTGGATGTGCACCATGGCCCATTGACCATCCGCTTAAACACAGCACGTAGAAATAAAGACGATCCATTTATTATATAATGAACATGAATGAACATTATATATACCATTATAATATATATATATAGCTATTTATCACCAATTGATACTCATTGCATCTAATAATTTACGTGGATCCAAAGAATCCAGGCAGACGTGGCCAAAGCAGAAGCGGTTCAGGGCTTGGAGTCCCACGCCAGTTGCCCCAGTTGGATCACCGTCGCTGAAGGTTTCCGTCTGCAGATCCGCTGTTGGACCTGTTGGATCAGCGATGGCTAAGGGTGGGTGGTTGTTGCTGTTTTTTTTCATGTCCCAAGTCCTCAATTGGAAGATGATCCCCGAATCCGGGAAAGAAAGTACAGGAACCCCCGATTTTTCCGTGGAAAAGCCATGTGAAAAGCCATGTGAAAACCCATGGGTAAAACCGGTCAAACCGGTTCTCCCTTAAGCCCATTTTCCGTGGCAACTAAGTCTGCTTGGCCGCTGGCAGCTCTCTCAGCTCCCATCGAGAAGTGGCGATGTCGTGGACTCTTGGGATCCCATCAAGGCTCACAGTTTGCCATGGAAAGATCCACCATGCTATTAATAGGTAAACCATGGTAAACCATCTATTTCGATTAGGGCCATCGAAAAACCATGGCTATGTAACAAATAACCAGATGGTAACTGACTTCATCCACCAGTTTCTTACTGGTGCTAAACGTATAGGGAATGGATGGGTTGCTGGGGGTTGCTGGGATTATTATTGATAGTTATATAGCCAGTGGATCATTCCCGAAAATTCCCTGCTAAGCACCAGTTTTTCCGGGCTTTCCCAGTTTCGACTGGAGTTTCCAGGGTAGCAGCTTTGTGTTTGGAGGTCGCAAACTACACTTGAGTTCCTTTCTCTGAAGCATTGGCGTCAATGCATGCCGCTGCTCTTTCCATGCTGGGACCAGTTCAGATGGAAGACCTTTGATTGAAGCCTACTTACGTGCAACGCGTCAATGCAGCCGCGCAAAATCCGGGCTTGGTTCATTGATGTTCATTGCAATTGCTGAAAAGATCTGAAACGGGTCCTTGTCGTCCTGGTCCTACCCGATTGCTCATCCAACTAACTCACTGATGGGGATTCTTGCCTTGATGGCTGTGAGATCAGCTTTCCTTCGCTGTTTCAGCGCTTCATGATCCGTCACACCACAGTTTCAGAGAAGCGAATCGGCCTCGCATTGCCTGGGGGTCATGACACATCACCGAGAATGCCATGGGAAGGAAAGGCCAACATGAAGATAAATGAAGTGGAATTATAGCTTGCTATATAGTTATTGTACCTCTTTTTCATCTTGAACAACTACAAAGATCTCTGGCCAAAAGCCAGCTAGGCTTCGGACAGAAGAGACGCTGATGACGCGTTGTTCTGGCCATGTCGCGCACGAGCCCTGCGGCTCTTGAGTTGCAGAGATCCGTCGTCCGGATGCCTGGGATGTATACATGATTGTACATGATTGTATTCTAGATATTCTAGGTAGTAGATCCCTTTGTGGATTGTTGGGTTTGGAACCTTTGAAACCCTTTGGCTTGTGAAAAATAGCTATACTGTCACTTGGAAGCTTGTCCTGCTTGACTTGGTCATGAGGTGAGGGAGCGCTCTGGAGGTACCTGGGGGCATGGGGCAGTCCTCGCCCATGGCCCCATGGAACTGGGCCTGGCCAGGGCGAATTTCCGTGGAGCTGGAAGTGATCCATGACATCGGCCGACGGAGTCCCAAGGTTTGGGATCTTCCTTGCGAGGAGGCCTTCTGAAAAAATTCTGACCCGAGAGTCTGCAGAAACTGATGGATACTGAAAAAACTGAGCAGTGGTCTTAAATGGTCAATTTTTTTTCACCCCTGTTGGTTGATGACTCATTGATGACCTTTTGGGGCTTCTTCTACCCACAATATTGGGGATTGTCACACTGCTCACATGACAGACTAGGAACTCCTGAAGCTCCAACGTGCGAGTGGATTCGACCAGCACCTTGGCACAGCAAAATTGATCAAGGCTCCACAACCAGAATGTAGTGAACATGGTGGGTGTGTACTTTGAGTATGGGTCAGAATTATCAATTATCATTCCCCTGGGATATTTGATGGTAGGCCCCAAGAGGACCCAGAATTCCGAAAGTGAGGTCCTCTCCAAAGTTGCTACGATGTGGAAGAGCAGCGTGGCCCTCGAAATTTCCTCTGAATTTCTGTGCCAAGACATGCCAAGACACAAATCATGAAACGTGCTGTTAAACCTTTTGAAGTTTGGATCAATCACCTTGCAGACACCTGAAATTTACCCTTTGGTAAACTAACATAGCAATGGAAAATCACCATTTTTAATGGGAAAATCCACTATTTCTATGGCCATTTTCAATAGCTATGTAACAAATTACCAGAAGGTACAAGAAGAACTAAGAACCTCGCACTTCTGCAGCAAAAACTCATCAAATTTACCAGGTTTGGGACCGCTTCGCTTCCGCCTTGGAGGTGGCCATGCTGCGCAGCTATGCTGTGAAGGCCTTTGAAGGGTGAGGCCGGCGATTTTTGGAGCTGAGGATGCTAAAGATGGGTCAAAACCAGTGGAAAAACCCAAGGTTTTCAGATGTTTTCCATGTTTTTTTTTCCAGTTGAACTAGTGCAACATTCAGCCATCAGCTATTTGAAGTTGAAATTTTCGGGCGCAGTGAATGGAATCGGCGGATCCTAGGAGTCTCATAGTGCTTGTATTTGCAAGACTGCAAAGGGTGGACATGCTACAGATTCAGCACCATTGAGGTTTCCAATTCATGGATCCAAAACTTGAAGAGAAAGCTTGGCTGTGCTCTGACTGACTTTCCGTTTTTTTTAAACTCGGCCCAACCATGAAAAGACGAACAGACTCCAAAC